GGTGGTGTTTTTTGGGTGGGGTTTGTTTGTTTGTTTGTTTGTTTTTTAAATTCTATTTGTTCCCTCTTGTTCTGAATAACAAAAAGTTGACTGTGTATTGAGTCTTTCAACTGAGTGTATTAATTAGCCATTGTGGTTAACATCTGTCATACCTGATTTATCTGTTGCTCATTTCAGGGAGGAAATTACATTGCAATTTAATGTTTGATAGGGTTTTACGTTTTTTGAGTGTTTTAAGCTTTATAGTGTTAATTGGTGAAGGTAAAAGTGGCCCTGGAATTGTTACTACAAGAGTTTGTTTTTCAAACTGTATTTTAACTTGAGATTTGGCACAAATTTTCTACAAATAGATGCAAAAGTTTTATGTTTTTATACTACTGTGAAGTTAACTAGATGCCAGGAATGGATTGTCAAAATGAAACCTAATTAAACATTTGGTACTGTTTTCTTATTTTTTTTAAAGTGTTGGCTGGTTTAACATAGGAGGCCAAATCTGGATTGGCTCTCGACTTTTCATAAAATGTAATATTCCTGCATTTTATGTGGTAGCTTATTTGGCACATCTGTCCATAAACCCAAAGGAACTCAAATTCATGATGAATAGAACATACACATTACTAACTTGTTCTCTGTTTATGTTGTGCTTAAGTATGCTTCAGTTATATTGGATGACGACTTGTCTTCTTGTGACGTATATGCAAATGAGTTCTCGTTTGGAAAAAAAGAAAGCTATCTTAAATTGCTTTGTTAATGAACTTTTAAGGACAAAGTAGCAAACATTGAGTGGAGTAATGTGCAAATGTTGTTATGAAATTACTGTAGACTAAATATGAACTTCTCAGGAAGCTATCTATAAGATACTGGTTCTATATAAGAAGTGTAAGCTATAAATGGAGAATCAGATGACACTTTTGCTCTGGTCTTTTTAGAGAAGCAGTTCTCTGAAAATATCTTTGGAAGCGAGGGAGAATTAGTGAAAATAACTTCAGTGTCATTTCTAAATGCTGTCTGTTAAACAGATGGTAAAACTGCTGAGGCATGTTATGCTGACACCTTGCTGTTGAAGCAGCGAGCAGGCCTGAAGGTCCTGCAGAAACATATGTTGCATAATAACCATTGATCTAACAGTACAATTTTTGTCCATTTTGAAAATGCTGATAGGTTCTTACATCTCAGCACTATAGATGTCAACTAAAAAGAAATGCCTACATGTCAATTAAAAAAAAAAAAATCTCACCATCTACCTCTCTCCCTTAAAATACAGGAGACTGGGACTTTCATGAAGTCCATGCAATAAAGTATTTATTGCTTTGCAAGATAGAGAAAACATTACTTTTAGAATCCATGAATTTGGTAAGATCTTAACATGATAATTGAATTTTGCTTTTTTTGAAACTGTTCCTTTCCCATGATGAATAGCATATGCTGGCAGTATTTTATGGAAGAAAAAAAGCTCACTTTTCTTGGTTTAGAGTTTAAGAGAACCAAATAATATACTCAGTGCAGCATGAAAAGAAAAATACTTGAAGTTGCTAGTGTAGCTCAAGAAAGGCTTGGTTTTTCAATCTCATCAAGCTTGTAACTAATGTTGATGTTTGGGTGTTTAAGCAAGAAGAATGTTGGTTTTATAAGGGTTCTATTGAGCTCTTGTTTTCTTTAGCAGTGATAGTCCAGATCACTGTTTGTTTTTTCAGTTTGAATTGATACTTTATATTCCCTCCAATAAAAGCTGTATGCTTTCTCATTTTGCCATACAGCGGTAGATTTCTGTGTGAAGACCAACTTAGGCACAACTAGCTGCCTGTTTAGTCAGAAAATGACTGGGAATATATTGAGGTTCTAATTCATGCACTAACACCAACAAAAGTTACTCTCAAAAGTTGGTAGAGAAAATACCTGTTACTTCAACACCCTCATCTTATACAAGAGCTGTTTCAAAAGGCACTGTGGTGAATCCAGCAATTAAGAAAGGCATTAAATTCAGTTAACTGTCTTCAAAGGGGATAAAGTATGGGTAGTGTTCTCAGTACTGCTTTTAAGTATGACTCAGATAAGCATGTCTGTTTATAATCTACTTCTATCCAATTTCTGATGAGAATTGCAGAAAAAAAAATTTCCAAAATCTTAACCGTTAAGGCTTATTAAGTATATATTCATAAAATAGATGAAAATGAGTTTTGGACTGCATTACTTTCTTTCAGTGCTTTTCCTCTTTGAGCACTCGCTTTGGCATTGCACTTGAGTTCTTTAAATGTATTGTATACAGCAGCTGTCTGTCCTCACATGTTTTTAATAACTTTCTATAGACTAAACCAATGAATCAGTAAAATAAAAGGCCTCTTTGTTAGTGTACTATATCATTAATTGAGGTTTATGCACTTATGGTTTGGCAAGCAGAAAGTTTGAGTTCTCTGGCTGTTAAGATTTTAGAAGTTGACAAGAACAACTGACCCACTTGTCTGTCTTGAAAAAACTGGGATGCCTGCTCTCATGAAACAGAGATCCAAACAGTTTCAGCTCCACTGGCATTTAATTGTTAATCTGTGCGATGTCTGTTTCAAAGCTTCTTTGGCACTTCTTTGAAGGCAGTTTGTCAGCTTGTCACAGTGAGGCACATTGCTATTTTTTTTGCTATCTGATCTGTGTATTAGCTGTTTGGAGGTCAACAAAAATCTCCACTGGCGGATTTTACTCTCTGGCTGGAGGAGAAAGTACTGTTAAAGGTTGGTTATCAAGGCTAGCTCTGCTAAAAATAGCAGGAGAGACAGCAGAATAATAAAGTGAATAACAGGGGCCTGTACTAAAATAATGCTGGTAACAAACACAATGTTCTGAGGTTTTCTAAAATACAGCAGACTTTTGTCCTACATTCCAGTAATTTATTTGAAAGGCATGTTCCACTTGAGGATTGCCAAGAACTTTACAAATACTAAGCCTTTTAACATGTCTAAGGTATGTGCCGTGCCATTTTAAAAAGAACCTCATTGGCAAAAATGATAGCTATATTTTTCCAGAAGCTTGTGTTCTATAATAATACAGAAAGTTTTCCTTCCCTAGTTCAGGGAAGCTTCAGACTATTCAGGTATGAAAAACCTGTTGTAGCTTTCTATCTCAAACAAGTTTGTGAACTAAAAAGGTGGGTGTTTTGTTTTTATTTCCACTTCTCCCCGCTTCAAATCTGAATATAAGACATACACCCTACAAATTCAATTGGCAGTTATCATCTATGATCAGCTCTGCAGTCTAGATGTGCTTTTTGGAGGTGTAAAAATTACAGCTTAAACAAATGTGAGGCACTGGTTCTCCATATACAGATATGATTTAAAGATGAAATGGACAAACTTAGGACAACAGAGCTAAAGAAAAAAGGTTCCAGAATTATTAAGGAAGAAAGAACTGCTTCAAGAAATACTTATAGCCTTTAACGTCATAAGTGTTTGAATGGAGAATGCCATCAATGGGAGAAAAAATGAGTAGAATTGGACTGGAGTTTTAATACTGTAAAACATTGGCATTGAAAATTAAAAATATAGTTGTACTAGAAGAAAGATGAAACACATGGCTTTGCTCTGAGGTGAAGGGAATAGATGTCAGCAACACGCAGAACCTCATAGTGGAATGTTTTACGGAGGAAGGCCATCAAAATCCTTGGGTGACGAGTTTGAATAAAAGCTTGTGGTACCCCAACAGATATAGGAAAGAGTAGGCACCAAATCTTTTGTTAGCTGGAAAAATCAGGAAGACAAGAAATTTGGAGGCTGCACAGGCTACACTGTTGAAAACTTTCACAGTCCCTTGCTCTGTCTATACAAAAAAGCATAGTCTTGTTATAGTGTAGATTTTTGAAAAATGCCATAGGTTTATACATACCTTTTAAAAATATCATGCCCTCTTGATTCTAGCACGCAGGCAGTCATATGTCTTCATGTTAAATGACCCATGTAATACATTCTCCTGCTTTTGTGGAGGTTTGCAAAGGCTTTCAAATCACAAATGAACTTGAAACAACTCAGCATATGCTCCAGTAATCCAGTAAGAAGTCAAGTAAAATCAAGACTGTTGTCGGTCTTGACTATTGGTAAATACTGAAATTACCTACGTAAACTACCAACATCTTAATTTCTTTGGCAGGCAAAGAGGGAATCCGGCTGCAAAGTTGCTGCATTCATAGTCTGGTTGTAGTTGGACAGTCAGGACATCCAAGCCAGGGCAGAATATTTCAGATTTTAGTTGTTAAAATTAAACTCCACAATGTGTGTAGGCAAAATGGTATTTTTTTATAGCTATAACAAAGTTTAGCCTGTTTTCAGATGTCAACAGGAATGTTGGGCAGAGGGTAGAGGAGATGCCAAATTTGAACCTCCTCCTGCCAGGCTTGGGACCGCTGGAATTGCTGGAACTTCCAAAGCACTTATCACAGATGAAACTTATTTTTCCTTCACCTTATTTTTGACAGTAGCTGTAATATTTTGAAAAGAAAAAAAATGTTTATATATGTCTGTTTTAAACAGGTGCCTAGGCTCATAGAAATTGTCAGGTGCTCCTAGGAGGAAGGTCTTTAGTTCTGTGTTAATCTGTGATAAATGTTTAGTTGCTTAAGCGTATACAAAGACAATTATTTTACTGAAAGAACTAAGGGAAAAGGTGTCTTTAAGACAATGTTTCTGTTGGAGATGCTGATAATCTCAGTCCTGATGCTGAACAACTCTCTCCTGTTAGATTGGCATTAGTCTATGTGATTTAAAATACAGTCTAAATCTCCACCCCCAGCTCCCTCAAACTTCCTTTATTTTGAGGAAAGCAGGACTTTCCAAGGCTATGAGTGTTGGATCAATCAGAACTTGTTCTATACAGAACAAGTTTTATTGTCTATAATTCAAGAGTGTCTTCAGATTCTTAGACAACATTACTATGCAATCAGGAGTTTGGATCAATGCTTTTAAAAACACTTTGCAACTTTAAACTTTCTGTGTTTGTTTGTTTGTTTTTATTTTCCATAGACTCGAGATGATTTTCTTGGGCAAGTGGATATTCCTCTTTATCAGTTACCGGTTTGTATTTTTTGTTTGGTTGGTTCTTGTTTTAAGACTGTGAAAAGGAAAAATGATTCTGTATGCAACTGTACTAGTAATCTAAGGAAGTTAACCATACTGATAATATAAGTAATTAAATTCTCCTACTCTGTGGGGTTTTTTGTTTTGGTTTTCTTTTGTGGATTTGTTAGGGGCTTTTTAGTGCTTTTTTAAAAAAAATTGTAGGTTACCTTGTGTTTAGATATTGGTTTCTGCTGCCATGAGAGTTAGGACTGCTTTTAGCTTTTTCAAGAATAAAAATGCAAGGTTGGAAACAGTCTTAAAGACAAGAGGAGATTGTAACTATTGTCATATTTCTTAAAATATTTTCTTTAAAGTTGTGAATTTACTTTTTAACATTCCTTATTCCTATAAACAGATACAGAAGAGGGTAAGTGGGAAATAGAGCTAGTGTTGCTTTGTACTTTTTTTTTTGAAAAAAAATTTGGTTTTGTATTCCTTTTGCAAAGCACATTGTTGTTTTAAAGAAATATCACCAAGAATATTGAAATAAGTAAGGCTTTTCATTTTCTTCTGAAGTCACAAAACACTAGCAAATACTAATGGACTTATCAGCAACTGTTTTAAAGACAGGATAGCAACCATGGCAAAACCTTTCCAAAAGCAATTGTTCTTTCATTCCGGTTAGAATTGAGTCAGGAGTAGTTACAGATCTGTCGCGTTTACCACTTTAACTGGGATGTGAGATCACGCTCACTGCTCCCCCGTGGTCAGGTGGCTTGGAAAGACTGGCTGTAATATCCCTCTGGAGAAGACTGTCTGTGTGTTCACTTCCTACTAATAAGCTGGACAGCAATATCTGGAGTCTTTTGGAGATATTGATAGATTTCCTTTTTTTAGCATGAACTAATTTATAGAGCCTCACTTGAGTATTTCCATGGCTATTTTCTTATCTTCTTCAAACATCAACTTTTCCCAGTCTCCTGTCTGTTTCTGTCTTCCTGGTTCCTTGTGCTTAATTATTTGGTCTTGCCATCTAAGTCCATTGTATTTGATTGCCCCAAATATAGGTGGATTTTTTTTTTTTTAAAGTCTTTCATTTATATAGGTAACTATATCTTGGATAAATAAAATCAGTTTATAAATTCTTTGTTACATGCAGTTTTGGTTTTGCTTGATACTGCAAATGCAGACAGTTCACAACTAAAAAGAGCTGGTAATCAGGGACATGTCAAAAGGGCAAATCATCTGCAAGTTAAGATAGTTGGCAGATATGAATTCGCTCTTTCCAAAACCAACTGTGCTAGATTACACTTGGATTAATACTGAATCTAAAGCAACTCTTGTTTTTGAAGTACTTCTAGATTACTTTAGAGCTGACACTGAAATGTCTGAAATACAAGAGAAAATTTTTCTTTGAGATTCGATGTAATAGCTATCACATTCAGTAAAGTTTAGTCAGCTTAAGGACTTTTTCATAACAAAGTTCAACAGTTCCAAATAAAATTCTAAAATCTTTAACTTAATAATGTCTAACATTTAAATTCAGGATTTTTTGTTTGTTTCTAATCAAATGTTGACACACATTAGATATTTTTTTGAAACACTATTATGGAATTAGTTCAACCTTTGAGGATTACATCATGTGCAGTTTTTCTTAATTAAAAGGCCTACAAATACAGTATTTGCAAGTTTTTCCTCATATTATACAGTATTACTTGAAATGGTTAAAATGTATTGAGTAACAAGAGCCTAGAGTTTTTCAGAATTTACAATCAGCTGAAAAAGGAAAAAAAAAAAAAAGACTCAAAAAAGATATTTACAAATGTTCCTAAACATATGGTATTGTAAAAATCAAAGGGTTTTGTAAGAATTGCAGAACTTGACATGGATTATAAATATTTAGATTAACCTGAAAAATAAGTATCTTTGTTTTTGTTAATGACCCCTCATTTATATTTCTCTATATGTACCTGGGATGTATATTGATAAAATGATGTCTGTTTAGCTCTGTGCTTTTTTGTGTTGAGCAACTTCACTTTTGTGAATCAGAACAGAGATGTTCTTAGAGTGGATTCTTCTGTAATTATTTTGTATCCCCAAGTCTTAAAGCTAGAAATGGCTTTTTATATATATTCTCTGTAAAAACATTTGAAAAATACTGGGGGAGGAAAAACTATTCTGGTGGATCTTTTAAATGTGAAAAATTGAGAATCTATTTCTTGATTTGAGCAACCTGGTCTAGTGGAGCGTGTCCCTGCCCATGGCAGGGGGGTTGGAACTAGATGATCTTTAAGGTCCCTTTCAACCCAAACCATTGTATGATTCCAGGCTAAACAGATTTATTTATTTATTTATTTTCCCACCTGTACTTTATAAACTGTAATATATGTATACACTGAAAAGTTGGGGGTTTTGGGTTAGTTTTTGGTTTTGTGGGGATCTTTTTTTTTTTTTCTTGAAGCAGAGAATTAGTCTTATTACTAAGATTATAGCTGGTATTGCTATTACTGTACCTAAACCTATAATTTAAATTTTAAAATGTTATATGGCCTTCAAAGAAACTCAGTGTAAACTTCTGATAATTTTCTTTAACTTCAAGTATTTGATACTGATTTTTCTTGAAAAAACTTGTCTTATTCCAGACAGAAAATCCAAGTATGGAGAGACCATATACATTTAAGGATTTTGTTCTTCATCCAAGAAGGTTGGTAAATACCACATAAAAATTCTAACTTTCATATCTAAACAATGCTGTTGTTGCTGTACAGTTACTTCTACAGATGTAAATATTGCTTAAACTTTTAGTATTTGTGGTTCTACTAAAAAGTCAGCCTTTGTGTAGATACTTATAGACTATTTGGTAAGAGTAAGCCTTTTTTTTTTTTCAGGCCATGATATAATTCACATTATAACTTCATTTGAACAATTTACTGTTTCACTGAACAGTGAAATCGGTGACCAATGTTATGCCATAACTCATTTATCCCTTTTCAACTTGTATTTGTCTCCTGCCTCCTTGTCTCTCTTGTTTGCCTGTTTTATGTAAGCAGTTATGTGACCTTAATTATAAACAAAACAAAACTTAAACTGAAGCTGCTTAACATTTAGGAATGCCTGTGTTAAAAAAAAAACCAAGGAATTTTTAAATGATAGGTAACACTTTGGCAGATATTAGTGTTATGCCTTTCATGTTTGTTTTTAAAATGTACATTCTTAACCTAAATCTGAGCAGGTTTTGGCAACTTTTACTAGAAATAAAATGCATGTTGACATTTTTCACATAATAGGTTCCAGTTTAGAAACAACATCCGAACATGTGGGATCTATAGATCTTTCTTAGCCACGTTGGTAGTGGAAGAAGTGGGGTTTTTTAAACATTTCACACTTCTTGATTTTTAGCAGGTCAATGATTTTAACAGAGTTAATGACTGTCAAGTGTCATTTTGGTCTCCTGTTTTTCTGAATTTAACATTTCTTGTCCTATAAATTAATGAAGAATAATATTTATTATCTCGATATAAATTAACTTCAATTGTTGTTTGTTAGTCAAGGATCTGACCTCTTGTAGTGTCTACAAGACATTAATTTGGCAGTGTTTTGTAGTAAGAGATACTGCCACAGGTTCAGGCACTTTTCTGCCTTGAAATCTTTATTTCTTTACCAAGTGAAAATACTAAATAAAATCAACATGGGGAAATCTATTTTCAGGCTTCTAATGATACATTAAGCTAAATACAGAGAGGCAGATGCTGAAGTATATGAGCTTGCTGTAACTTCAAGTTTTAGGAAAAGTAGTCCTGTCGGTTAAAATAATCCTTGATAGATTGGCTGCATACAGTCAAATTATTATAATCATATGAATCAAATTGTCATTATTGTTCTTTATACATTGGATACTAGGGAAGTTTTCAGAAGAGCGAGTTGGAAAGAAGGTTTGCAGTTGTGCAGTCTAAAAATTCATTACTATTATAGAACTTCATTAATTTAAACTATATAAAGCCAAGTTTGTGTTGAGAAACTTAAGAATAATCTGCTAGCTGTGCTTTTTCAGCTGTTTTATTTCCAGGTAACAATTTCACAAGTGCACAATAAAAACATCTTATTTTGTCTTCTGCAGCCATAAATCTAGAGTTAAAGGTCACCTTAGGTTAAAAATGACTTATTTACCTAAAAGCAATGGGTCTGAAGAAGAAACCACAGAACAAGCTGAAGAATTAGAGGTGAGAAAAGATGTATTTATTGCTGAAAAACCTAGCAAACGTCTTCAGCTATTAAGGGTAGTTACAGTAAAATCACTAAGCTATAAATAATATTTTAGAAACAAACCAGTTAGAAGCGATTGCTTCTATCTTACATAAAAGTTGCATAAAAATTCTGGAGCAGTTTTTCTAACTAGAGGAGTGATTTTTGTCAGTATATCTGAAAAAGCAAACATACATTAGGCTCTTGGTTTTGTTCTAGTACTGACTTGCCATATGTGTATGTAACTCTTCTTGTTTTGGAATTAGTGGAAGTATCATTGCCCAGTATTTTTACTGCTGTTTAACATTGTTTGACCCGAGCCAGCCAGACACTGGCATCTCACTGGTTTTAAAATTTCAACTTTCTTGAATTTGTAGGGCTATGGTGAACTTAACTACTTGACATTTGTAATCTTTTGTAAGCACATCCAATTTAGATCAATCAATGGATTTCTTTTCAAGACTTAAACAAGTCTAATCAGCATTACCACCTTTGCTGTAATTAAAGTTTCTGTTAAAAAACAGTGCGCTTATCTGACGAGTACGCTTGCAGCATATGTATGAAATGAAATTTATTTACATTTTTTAATCTATTCTGTGGATGCTGTTTATTTTCCAACATTTGATACTAATATGTTTAAGGAACTTGAGTTAAAAATAAGATTTCCGCATGCATAATTTGTTCTATCACTTACTGAGAAATACACACAATAAAACCCAGAGCTAATCTTACTGGATTAAGATGTAGTGGAACTGCACCTTAAAAGGGGAGTGGTTTAGTAAATTGAGATACTTTCTCTACTTTTGTAATATTAAAGGTAGTTAATATTATATCTCTTAGCCTGGGTGGATTATATTGGACCAACCAGATGCTGCTAGCCA